CATTAATACATAGAGATTGATAGAACTTCTCAGTTGTTGAAATTTCTATTTTTTATACAGGACTATGAGTAAATACACATGATTTATCAGTCACATTAATTGCATATGCTATCTAAGTTATTCTGTTTCTCTATAGTACTGCTTGTTTCATGATTCTTTGATTAAAATCCTTGAAAATTTAGCTTTCGATTGTGAGTTCGATAGCATTAATGAAAACTTACATTTTCTTGCAAGATATCTCAATGACTAATATTTCCATTAGGATGCATGTAGTTTCATTAAGTCATTTGAAATCAATTTTTTCAAGATGATTTTATTGTACATTTCTATAAGCATATTATTTTCTATCAAAATTATAACCAACTATATAGTTTCATGATGTTAAAATATTTATACTCTAATCAACATACATAAAAGATTCTATGAAAACAAGAACTTAAATTTAATTTTAGTGATCAATCATCACCTCTATGTATATTACCAAATCATATTCTTAGTTCAATATTTTCTATTGACAATCTAGATACTTTAATTAATGCATTAAAATTAAATAATAAATATGATCTATATAAAGAACAAGATCAATTGTATGAAAAGGAACATGTTTTACGTCAAAGTCGTAATCATATATTTATATTATCATCTACGGATAGAAATCATAATGATCAATCAATAATTTCTTCATTACATTCATCGTTAACAAATGGTGATTCAATATTTACACAAAATAAAATTGATAAATTACCTAATACACAAGATAATACTTATCGATATTTAAAAGGAAATCTTAGTAAGTAATGAAATTTAAAATTTAAATACAAACAATATTTTTATATTTATTTATTAGATGTATCAGCACCATTAAATAATTCCAATGTAAAAGTTCAAAAAAAAATTAATACAACTCAATTATCATCTTCAAGTAGAAAACAAATATTAATTCTTTTTAAGAATGAAATATCATATATTTTAGAACTTGTTCCACTTCGTACTGTTATGCCAAAACCTTTATGTCCTTTACCAAATCATCCGCCATTACCAACAATAATCGATAGAAATAATAATTCAGTTACATCTTTAAAAACAAAAATATCTACAACAAAAATGCCGAGTGTTATTGTTCTTGACTGAAAAATATTTTCTTTTCTTTTTCTTTTATTTACTTTTCATTTTTCAACTTGTTGTCTATCTTTTTCTTTTCTTTGTTTTGTTTTTTTTTTCATACTGATGTATGTATTAAAGTATTTTAATGTGCAAACTATTTTGCTCAACATAGCAATCTATAGATGATGAAAAAATAACGCAAAAACAAATTAAATTGATTCTATTAGAAATATTTCTTCTCTTCTTTTCTTTTTTTGAACTTCATTACTTTGATTTCTTTTTTGTAAATAATATAGCTGCAAACATTAAAAAACAATAACGATGAATGAAATTATTATTTAATCACATAATATAATCTATCAAAAGATTATCATTGAAATGATTTGTTTGAAAAAAATTCTGTGTGAAGCAGATTCGACGAATATTTCTTTGAATAAAGTTATTTTTTTGAACAAAATAATAAAAGCAAATAAGTTGAGATTTTTGAAAATTGAAATTTTTAAGCATTGAAAGTGATTGGTAATTTCTAATTTTTGTTCGGAGTATTTAGAATTATTCTATGTTTTGAAATCTTCTTTTCAAATTGATAATTTAAGCATTAATGATGTATTGCATCAAAACATTAAATTTTTTGAAGTCTGTTAAAACTGACAGAATTGAGTTGTTTTCGGTGCACTCTGATAGTATTGATGCGTCTGTACTCGCCACAGAGTCAAAATTGGCCTAAATTATGATAAAATTTGATTAGTAAAATATATTCTGAAACTATTTTCTTCTCAGTTAATTTGAATTCGGGTAGAAAAAACTCACTGCAATCGTTTATGGCTGAAACTGAAATTCCTAAGCGCTACCAGCGGTAGTGAACCAATAATAGTGAAATTTTCAAGACAAATAAATATTGAGTAGTCAAGTAAAAGTTGTTATATTGAACTTGGACCCTAGTTTTTATTCCATCAATATTTGGCAACCTCTGTGTATACGAACAAATGAAGCTTCAAGTCAACGTACAATTATTTCTTGTTGTTCATTTTCTCTTCATTTGATGCTTAACAAATTGAAAGCTTTCGCTCAGCTGAGAAGAGCATTATGTTAACAGTAAACGAAGTTGAACATTTCTTAAAAAAAAACACAAAATACGAAAAGCGCCTTGACAAGTATTTTTTTTAAATAGCGCCCTTTTTGTAAAGTATGCCAAAAATCAGAGAAGATATGTTTTTTTTGAGCCCTGTCCTGCTCAAAAATAATTGTTTTGTTTTTCATTCAATTTCAATCAAAATTTCAGGGAATGTTAGTTTTGGCTATAATAGATTATGGATGAAATATCTCCAAGATTGTCACGTATTCAGGGTATACGTAAAAGCCAGAAAATGTATTGTATTATCAATTGCGTAATACAAGCGAGATCAAGGTCAATAATGATGTTTTATTGACTTGAAGAACAGAGACAAATAACAAGTTAGATGAAACGAAACTTACAAGAGTAATTGACGACAAAGAAGAGAAAGACGAACATATATATCTGTCTATATATGCATAGAAATGATGACTCATGATAATGGAATGGAAAATAGAATAAAGAAACAAAAGAAATATAACAATAGAAATATTGTTATATACGAAATTAGAATGATCACAACACAAAGGAAAAGAACACATAAATATATATGTATAGAATCATACATATATAAAAATTATGACTCATCAGTAGACAAACACCAACAGATAAGAAATGAAGTCAATGTAACAATAATAACAATTATTGTTAATACACTACAAAGATATTCACCAGTTATAGTCAATGCATTGGTCAAAGATATCATTTACATGGTGAAGGTTTTCAAAATGAGAGCACTACTTAACACGTTAGGATGGTTTTTACATTGTAGAGTGTAGTTAGTGCTGCGTCGTAATAGAAGTCCGACATTGGCAAAAATGCTTCTGTAATGAACAACAAATGTATAAAGCAAAATGAAGAAAAAGATAAAATTATCGGTCCCTTAGAAATACTTTTTCTAAATCTAATTCTATTCCTAGTGAATATTTTCAATCATGACCCAGTGAAAAATATTCTCTGATTTCAATCAAATTATTGTGCAACAAAATCCAATCCGCAATCGGATCGATAATTTTGATTATGATCGATCACCATTTAACCCA